TGGTCTCTGGTCCTCCTTTTCCCATTTTTTTTCCCTTTGTGGAGACCCCCCACCCCTCCCTTTTCTCTTTCATAATATCTCTTCATTGCTCATTCTTTTTTTTCCTGATTAGATGTTTTCCCTTCCGCTGCTCTCTCAAACTGGACCCCCCCCCTCTCTCTCTATCCATCTCTATATTCTCTCTCTCTCTCTCTCTCTCTCTCTCTCTCTCTCCCCCTCTCTCTCCCTCCCTTGCTCCTTCTGTCTCTCTTATCTCTCTCTCTCTCTTTCTCCCCCCCTCCCCCACCGAACCACCACCACCACGCCGAAACCACCGCCCCGCCCTCCATCCTTCGTTCTTTTTCATCATGCACATTTCTTCCTCCTCCCACCACAACGTTCACCGTGCGTGACGGACGGAGCTGTGCCAACTTTCACTCATTTTGTTACGGTTTTTTCCCTCCTAGTGCACTTGAGTCATCCGTGTGTAGGTCGTCACACCTAGATCTAGTTTCTGTTGTCACTGTGATGGGGGTGTTTGATGGGAGTTTTTATTTTGTGTTTCATGATTCTTCCCACTCCAGACTTGTTGTAATGTTCGAGACAGTCGGACTGACAGACAGACAGACAGAGACTCTTGTAATATTCCAGACAGACAGACAGACAGAGACTCTTGTAATATTCCAGACAGACAGACAGACAGACAGACAGACAGACAGACAGACAGAGGCTTTTGTAATATCCGAGACGGTCGGGCTGACAGACAGACTATTGTAATATTCCATACAGACAGAAGACAGACAAGACAGACAGACAGACATTCTCCTTTTATTTCTCTCTCATGATTCACGCTGAATGTTTCCTCTGAGCCACGGAGTTTTGGCGAAAATTTGGAGACTTCAAACTCTTTGATTCCAGTTGACTTAACTTTTTCTGTCTCGCATAGTTTTGCGTGCGGTTACCCGCACCTCCCCCTCTTTTTGTTGTTGTTGTTTTTGTTCACATCTGGAATATTTTAGGGGAACTGTACACTGTATGTCAGTTTTGTGAAAAGGTTTCAGTGTTTATTTATTGTTGCGTGTCTGCCCCAAAGGCTCGCAGGACTTCACCATAGCGCCACTTGTGACGATTTTAACATGTTGCACATGCGTCGGCAAAGATAGCAGCCCGCCTCCTCTATGATCTAACTGTATCGGCCAGGGCGTTATACATTTACAATCTGTTACAACTGGTAGATCTAGCCTTTTCTAGTTCGGCTTATGCCAGCAGTGCCTAAAGTCAACAGACCCTCATTCGATAAGAAGCCGATGGTTGGAGGGCGACACTTGTAGTTCCTATTGTAAGATGACCGTTATGTCGATGTACTTTTCTGTACTCAAACAAGCAAAGGCTCGATACGCGTTGGTAATTATTGTGAGGAACCCTTGTTGGATCCATCTCGGATGCCTCTCGCTTTCTCTCTTCCCTCCTCTCTTTGTCCATCTCTCTTTCTCTATCCCTCTTCCTTCCTCCCCCCTCTTCCTTCCTCCCCCCTCTATCTCTTTCTCTGTCTCC